TCTTGATACTCCACAAAAGTCACCACCGCGCTAGCTGTATGTGGGCTTCTGTAAGCACCTAGAAGCCCCTTTTTGTCTCCTACTCAGTAATCATATCCTAGACTACAAGCGCATGGTGAGAAATGTCACTGATAGTTTTCTCTGAGTGTTGCTGGCACAACTCTTTGCCTTGATCCCTGCCCTGTTTATTTTTGAAAGTGCCTTACCTCATTCTTTGTTAGGAAGCGTCTGCTAACAAGCTTTGACTTGTTTTTATTCTCATTTCCAATTACCTTTTCTTTTTCATATGTCTCTGAGTGCATATTTATTTTATTTCTACTTACAGTTAGTGTCTGAAAGCGAAAGGGCAAGACTTAGTAAATGTGGAGTGCAATAAAAATAGTAAAAGAACTTCAGTGTAAATCAGAGACCTGTACAACAAACAAGAGTCTCCGGGGTGTATGCATCATTGGGTAACAGAAATCTGGATAAACTGTTTATATTCTGTCTCCTAAACCTGCATCTCCCATAGGTCTCTTTTTCCTGTCCTGTTTAACAGCACCATCCTTTGCAAATCTGCATATTTCAGAAGTCTGAAATGAGAATGAGGGGGCTCTCATTTAACTTTACATCTGGCCAATCACTGATTTTATAGATTCCACCTTAACATCCTCGTTTCTTCCCCTTCTCGCTGCATTTTCCCTTAGCCTACATGATCTCTTACCTGATCTAATAGTCTACTTATTTGCCCCTTTGCCCCAGTATCACTGCCTTCCAAGTCAGCCTCCTTATTAGATATTAAGTAAGTTTTCTGTAATACAGATCAGAGCATGTCATTACCCTACTCCAACCCTCTAGGCTCCATCCACAATAGACAGATACATAGAGACACAAAGCAGATGAGTGGTTGCTAGGGCCTGTGGGGGAAAGGGGAAAGTGTAGGGTTACTAATGGGCATGGTTTCCTTTAGAGTGAAGAAAACACTCTGCAACTAGATAGAAGCAATAATTGCACAATACTGGAAGGTACTAAATGATACTGAATTTTGCACTTTTAAATGATTAAAATTATAATCTATGTTAAGTCCATTTTACCACCATGAACAAAACCTTATAGTATCAGATCTGTTCATCCTAGTTATTCACAGGACCATCACATAACCCATGCATGTTGCCAATTCAACTCTCCTTCGATCCTCCTGTTCCTTCATGGACAGGACCACATAGAGACTCATGTGTGGGTGCCTGTGGCATGAAGCCCCTTGCATTTGTAGGAATGGTGTACACTTCCAGCCATGCATCCTCTCACTGCTTTCTCACCCACTCTGTTCAGTGACCTTCTCCTGTGAGACCCCTGAGGAGTCTCCCTGACACATCTACATCAGCAAGCCTATTGTGAATGTGCCGGAATTTAGGTCCTGAATCCTGGTATCTAAAAAGGCACACCTAGGAAATATTTACCGCTGGGTCCAGTATCTAGATCCAGGGGGAATAGTATAATTTTCTAAAAAGTAAAGTAGAATGATGCTTTAAGTGTTTGCATAACCCTTTTAAAATTCATGATGCACTTGTGAACCCCCTGGAGGATCTGGAACACATGAATTTAGAGGCACCTCAAATATACAGTTATGGTGATGAGACTGTTTCCCTCCAGGGAGCCTTGAGATTAATCTTGTCACATTTAAATATGTAATCATGACCCTGCCGTGTTTTGTCACACACCTCTAAAAGCTGCCGAGTGGTTTGTGTCCTTGATTTGTGAGCAGTGAGGCTTGACTATAAATAATCACATAGGTTATCTTTCAGCACTCATAAATTCATTTTTGAGATTAGCATCAGCTTGAGAGCATACTTTGTGTGGGATCTGAGGTCCTGTGAAATGGCCTTTCTTCCTAAAGGAGCTTTCTTTTCTGTTCATAATGACACTGAGTCCCATGTTGTTGGGTCATTACATGTGGCAGCTCAGAAATTGACTCAAGGTTGGGTAGGTTGCTAAGAAAGCATAATGCCTAGCCCTTTGAGCTTTTCCTCACCAGTTTGTTATCCTGGACACGGATGGCATGAGTGCTCAGGTGTACAAGACACATCAGGGGAGCAGGTGTCAGAAAACCCTAAGGTGATGTCCTAAGTGTGGAGCACATTTCTACTTACATTCGCCCTTGATGTAAGCAGAGAATTCCCTGCCCTCATAGATTACACAGTGTTCTGAACAGTGGATCCTAACAAGCAGTCTTGGGATCAGAAACAGCAGCAGCAACACTTTGGAGTTGCTACAGAGGCAGATTCTTGGGCCCCTCCATGAACCTGCAGCATCAGAAAACTCAGGTGGTTTAACACACGTGCAGTGGTAGAACCACTATTTTAAACAACTCTTTTAAACCAAGGTTATCAATACAAGTATCAGAACAGTGAGTGCTCTTGGGGAGTTAAATTGGTACAGATCTTTTGATTTTGAATTTTAAATGTGGATCACTATTGGGAGAAAAATGTTAATGACCAGTATTTATTGAGCACTCAGGCCAAGTGCTGTGCTAAGTGTTCCATGGATAGTATTTCACTAAATCTTCATGTAACTCACAATGACCCCAAGAAGTAATGCTTCTTTCCCAGGTGCTGTAGAGTCAACGGAATGCGGGCTTGGAGAGGTTGAGTTACTACTGCTTAGGGTTCCACAGCTTGCAGGGCCTCTTGTCATATGTGTGTACTCTGACTCCAGAGCCCAGCTGTGATCCACTGTGAGGCCCCTGCATTAGCCTCAGCTCTGGTTCTGTGGGCAGGAAGACCTTTAGCTCTTGGGTATTTGGTTTATTGCTGTTCCGGACCATTGCTGCCAAACTCATTTCCACTCGACGCAGCTGGATTCTGTCACACAGATGACTTGGCTAAGTGTCCTCAGCTGGGCTGAAATTGCAGAGAAATCCCTCATCGGATCCCCGACAAGGCCAGAGACATGGATGAGAATCAGCAGGGAGAAGATTGTAGCTTGGGACTGTGGAAGAGTGAATGGTTTCCTGTAGAGTTCCAGGAAAATTCTCTTGTCATGCATGGGTTTACTTTCAGCTTGGGACAAACTATGGAACATGTTGGGCTCCAGTGCACAAATGCACACTGTTGATGGAGTCCACAGTCACTGAGGCCCCGATGACCATGGGTTAAATATAGAAAAACGCAGTTTCCATTTTATATGTAAGAGGAGCCAGTCCCGTCCCACACCCATAATGGGGTTTGGCATCTCTTAACTACCCCAGAGGGTTGTGAAGAGTTGCATGAAGATACCCTTGGCTCAGCTTTTAGCTTCAACTGTGCAAGTACTGTGATTTAACTGAAGCTCTGGAACTTGTATCTGATGCACGGTTCTACCTGATTGTCTCACAAGTGTGTGACTTGAGCAAACCACCTTATAGCTCCAGATAGCCCAGTTACCTCATGTGAAAGATGCTGCCTGCTCTTGTGCAGAGCAGTTTGGACAGCTATACACACCAAGTTAAAATCTCCGCATAATGTTCTGCCTACCTCCTAGCAGGTTATAAGATGGCAGGTTTCAGGGGAGAAATGGATATTTTGTAATATAATAAATGTAGCAGATTTTTTTTCTTGCTTCAGTTCCCATAGATTGAAATAGGTAAAAGAACCCAGCCTCCTAAGAAGGACCTTGTGAAGTGATCTTTAGTTACTGACTGTTATTCAGCAGCTAGAGATTAGGGGAAATGATCCCAGCATTGCATGGGTGTACTCATTCTGTCGTCTGGTAACCCTGTCCATTCCACATATGCTTTAGTACATCTCGGTCCACACTGCTCTCCTGCATAAGGCATCCCAAACTTAACTTTTGTTCCTTGCCCTCCGGCATTGAATCATGAAGGCTTCCCATGGTCCTCCGCTTGGGATACTTGCTGAAAGGCCATGGCTGGCCATACAGAGATCTGTCCTCCATTCATCCAAGCAATGGCAGCTCATGGATGGCTCTCACGTCATTTGAATTCTTTCCTTAGCTAGGGATGGTTGAAGAGTACTTTATCCAACTAACCATGGCAGAGGTGACAGAGCTATACAGGTGAATCTATACTTATGGTGACGGGGGGGGGGCAGGGACAAGGATATAGCTCAATGGCATGGCGCTTACCTGGCAATCGTGAGGTCGTGAGTTCAATTGGTGGTACAAGAAAGAAAGACAGCAAAACAAAGAAAGAAAGAAGAAAGAAAGAAAGGGAAAGGCTGGGATGGTTTGACTTAACTTTACTTTAAAAACTCTGCAAACACACACTGAATTGAATTCTGGTTATTGTGGTGTGAAGCTATTTCATGCAGTTGTATTGTCATCCCTATTTTACGTGGAACTGTAAAAAATCTAATGGATTGATGGATGAATACAGGGATGAGCAAAGCAAACACAGTGAATCTAAATTGTGAGTGTATGAAATTGTGTCATGTTGTTCTATGTTTAAAATGTTTTGATGACACAGCTTTGGAAAAAAGAGTGTTCTAGAAAAGTGTGAAGAATTTCTTTCTGTTGTGTGTGTGTGTTTTTAAGGGAATCAAAATATCGTCTTTATTTCTGTTAAAAGCTAAGATGGCACATATTACCTACTGGGATAGCCAGCTTGGCTGGAAGGCAGAATTAGGTAGGCTGAGTACTAAGTTACAGGCAGACTGGGCCTAGTGTGGGCCTCTCTACCTCCAGGACCCAGCCGGGTAAGACACTGCCCCTCACTCCAGATGGGGAGCAGGTGGAGAACACAGAGATCAGTCCAAGGAGGGAAAACACTAGTAATTTTCAAGGTTTATACACGTGAATAATGAGCATAACTGACTGAAATCAAAATAGCTGTGTAATCGGAAACTTTCCTACCTTGAAGATACCTGTTCATGAAGCACAATTGGCATATCCAAAGGCTTGGATTAGTAGAATATATTCTGTAGTTTATAAAAGCTTTAAATAACTTTAACCTGAATTAAAACTTTCCCTTTATTTAGAAGTTCCTTTTCTCTAAATTTAAAAATATATTTTGTCTTTTTTTAAAGGTCATTGTTCGAGGTGGAGGACACATTTTACCCTATGACCAGCCTCTGAGAGCTTTTGACATGATCAATCGATTCATCTTTGGAAGAGGATGGGATCCTTATAACTGATAAACTACTCTTCCAAATGAGAACATCAAGAATTTTCATCTTTGAAAAGAAATTTTGGAAAACAAAATGTCCCAGATAAGAAAGTTATTTTATATTTACAAGAATTTTCTTAACAATAAAAATTAATTACCCTTGAAACACGTGAGCTTTTGATTTGGGGAGAGATGGTTTGTTACAAACTATACATGCAAAAGGAAGAAGTATATGATGTAAATTGGAAGATAGAAGGATTGGATTCTGTGACGCTGATTCATGCAGCAGTGAGTAACTCAGATTCAGGATCCTTTACCAGGAATTTCGAATTCTTTCTACATGTATGTGAAAATGCAATCAATGAATAAAGTTGTAGCATCTTGTTCTGCAAGTAAGCAAAAAGTTGGCCATACAATGCATACTTCTGAAGGTGTTTGTAAATATTATTGGATAAGAATAGCTGGATTATCACCCTCAAGGAATGGATAAAGTTGTAACAGTTATGAGGAAGAGATTTTTGAATATAGAAAGTCTTAGCATGAAAGACAGCTTGAAATGCTTTAAAGTAGAGATCTTCTATAAAAAAGGAAAGGCACATCAATTCAGCATAAATAGGGACTCTTTCTCAGAGATCATATTTATCTTACTTTTTCTTTATTTTTTTAAAGTTTATTCATTCTTTTGATATTTTTATCAGACTTCTTGCAACCACATTAAGCAAGTTGCTTTGGAATTATAAATTCTCCACTTCCTTTCACCCCCCCCCCATAAAGAACAACTTAATTTTATGTCATTATTGGAATTAAATATAAAATAGCCTGGCATCAAAATAGACATGTAGAAATGTACTTGCATCTGTAATTTTACACTAAACTGTCTTCTCTGGGCACGTTTCTTGTACATCATGTACACACATCTCTGAAATTCTGTAGCACATTCGGTTTTTCAACATCACTTTCTTCTCATACGCACAAACTAGTCCACTGGAGAATTAAATTTAAAAAGTCAAGGCCCGCTCTTGCTGTAATTATTGAGTTGGCTTTTTTTAATTTTTCATTTTGTGCCTGATTTCATTCAGGTTTGGGATCTTCCTTTATTTCCCCCCTTCATTGTGTTCATATATGAGAAATCACCAAATCAAACATTATAGTTAAAAGCAGAATTTTAAACAATTATACAGGACTGGGGATATAGCTTAATGGCACAGTGCCTACCTAGCAAATGCAGAGTCCTGAGTTCGATTCCCAGTACCAAAAAAATAAAATAAAATAGAAAACAGTTGGCAGGGGAACACGCAAAATGTTTTTCGGGTAGCTCCTTATGCAGATTAACTTAGATATTCATGTCTCCTTAAGTACAGGATAGAAAGGGAACTGACCTTGGGCTGGAGATCTAAGTGTAGCCCTACCTGGGTGACACAGGCATTGAATGGTTTGTATAGCTTGGTTGTCCATTCTGGTCTTCAAAGTCGAAGACATTTGCAAAGGAGGAGGTTCAAATGTTCCTCCCATCCAAAGTCTCATCTCATACTGCTTATCTCACCAGAGTGCTCTGAGACCATTGGAGCTCATTATTTGTGCATTCTGTATTTGCAAGTAGGCCCAGTCACTAAAAATGTATTTATAACTCCAGTATCGATACTGAGTCTGTATTTCATATAAGCTTTAAATACGCTGATCTGAATTTAAAACTTTCCATTTATTTATAATGTCCATTTGTCTGAAATTCACAGTGACCTTTTAAGGTCATCCACAGAGATAGCCAAAAATTAGAGTTGTCTAGTACGCATGTTCCCTGCTGAGGTTGAACAAATGTGACACTCGGCCTTTTGTTTCCGCTTTCCTACTAGAAGTGACTTTTTCAGTTCTGTTTGTGCTTTTTTATAAAGTTTTGTGGGTTTTTTTTTTTTTTGTACTTTTCATTGCTGATTTTCTAAAATGGTCCTGAGCATAGTGCCTAAGTGCTGTCTGATGTCCTTAAACACACACAAACACACACACACACACACACACACTGTGCTAAGTGCTGTGTGCTGTATGGAAAAATGTTTCATTCAGACCTGAGTTAAATTGTTAGCTATTCTATTTGCAAACAAAAAGAATGTCAACCAAGGCTAATTAATACGAGAAACAAAGAAGGTTACTAGATCCTCATGAAGAGAACAATCCAAGAGGAAGCAATAACAATCATAAATATCTAATGCAACAAACTCCAGTGTGTCCAATTATATAAAACAAATACTAACAGGCATAAAAAATCAAAAAAGCACTAATACAGTTATATTGGGGGATCTCAGTGCAACACCATCACAGAAAGACAGGTTAACTAGACAAAAAATAATAAAAATACTAGAACCAAACCAAACTTTTGAACAATGGACTTAGTAGATATCTACAGAGTGGTTGATGCCACAGCATCAGAATACACATTCTTCTCAGCTGCATGCAGGGCATACTCCAAAATAAACCACATACAAGCTCACAGAACATGCTTAAGCAAGCACAAAGGAACGGAAATGATCCTATGCGTATTATTAGACCACAGTGCAGTGAGCCTGAAAATCAACTACAAAAGAAATTACAAAAAGTCCATAAATACTTAGAAATTAAATAGCACCCTCCTGAACAACCAAAGGGGCACAGATGAAATTCAAGGGAAAATTAGACAGTTTTGATTGAATGATAAGGACAGCAAAACATACCAGAACTTACGCACACAATGAGAGCGGAACGAAAAGAGCACTTTATAGTAGTGAACACCCAAATCAAGAAAAGAAAGCACAAATAAGCAACTTAATGTTGAACCTCAAACTTCTAGAAAAACAAGAGCTGACCAAGCCCAAAGCTCAAACAAGGGAGAAAACTCTGAAGAGCTGAGCAGAAATGAACACACTGGAGACTAAGAAAACAATGTAAAGAATCCATGAATCAAAGAGTTGTCTCTTTGAAACAGTAAGTAAAATCAACAAATCTTTAGCCAACCATATCAAAAAAAGGAAAGAAAAGATTCAGATCCACACATTTAGGAAGGAGAAGGGTGATACAACAATGGACCCTGCAAAAATCCAGAACATCATTTATACCTGCTCTGAGAACCTGCATTCTCATAAGATGGAAAATGCAGAAGACATGGACATATGAATGACCAAAGCTGAATGCAGAAGACATGATTAGCCTAAATAAACAAATATCAGGCAGTGAAATCAAAGATGTAATTAAAAATGTACCAATAAAGAAAAGCCCAGGCCTTGATGAATTTAATCCTTAATTCTATGATAAATTTAGAGAAGATTTATTACCACTACTTCTCAAACTCACTAACAAAGTTGAAAGGGAAGTAATACTCCCAAATTCATTGCTGGAAGCAAGCATTATCCTGTCACCAAAACCAGTGAAAGACCCAAATAACAGAATGATTGGTCAATATCCCTAATGAACATAGATGCAAAAATCCTAAATAAAATACTGGAAAACAGAATGTAGTAACTCATCAAGATTGTACACCATGGCCAGTTTGGGTTCATCCCAGGGATGCAAGGAAGTTTCAACATGAGTAAACGAATAAATGTAATACACCATATTGACAGAGCCAAGGACAAAAACTATATGATCATCTCAATAGACACAGAAAAAGCTTTTAACAAATCTAGCACTGACTCATGATTTATAAAATATCCTACAGAAAACTGAAGTAGATGGTCTTTATCCCAACGTGATAAAAGCCATCTGTGACAAACCACCAGCCAATATCATATTAAATGGACAAAACAAAGCTTTCATTCTAAAATCAGGAAAAAGACAAGGATGTCCTCTGTCTCCATTTTTATTACGTCCACTGTCTTCACTCTCACTCAGCGTAGTACTGGAAACTTTGCTAGCACAATTAGACAAAAGAAAAAAAAATAAAAGGAATAATGATAGGAAAAGAAGAAGTTAGTGTATCATTACTTGTGGATAACATGATATTCTACATAGAAGTTCCCAAAACTCCACTAAAAGACTGCTAGTTTTAATAAGCAGATTCTGTAGCACAGCTGGATACAAAGTTAGTGCTCAAAAATCAGTAGCCTTCCTGTACACAAATAAAAAACTTACTTAGAAATTAGGGAAACATCTTTCACAGCAGCATTCAAAAAAATGAGATACCTAGAAATCAATCTAACAAAGGATGTAAAAGAGCTCTACATTGAAAACTATAGTACTCTGGAAAAGGAGATTGAAGAGGACATCAGAAGATGGAAAGATATCTCTTGCCCTTGGGTAGGAAGAATGAATATAGTTAAAATGGCCATACTTCCAAAACTGTTACACAGATTTGATGCAATTCTGACCAAAATTCCAACAGTGTATGACACAGATTTAGAGAAAACAATTCTAAAATTTATTTGGAACCAGAAGAGACCTAGAATAGCAAAGGCAATTCTGGGCAACAAAGGAAAGGCAGGGGTACAACCATACTTGACTTCAAATTATACTACTAAGGTACAATAATAAAAGCAGAATGGCACTGGCAAAATACAGACTCAAGGATTAATGGAACCGATTACAAGATACAGAAATAACTCCAGGCATACTCAGCCACTTTATCTTTGACAAAGGTGCAAAACACATTCACAGGAAGAAATATAGCCTCTTTAATAAATGGTGCTGGGAAAACTGGCTTTGCACATGTCAAAGATTAAAACTGGACCCATGTCTTTCACTATGCACTAAAATAAATTAAAAATGGAGCAAAAATATAAATATTAAAACAGCAACACTAAATCTGCTGGGAGATAGAATAGATAGAACTTTTGAAGACACTGGTATAGGCAGAGACTTTATTAATAAAACCTTGATCACACAGAAAGTATCAAAAGAGAATCAGCAACTGGGATCTCATTTTACTAAAAAGCTTTTGCACAGAAAAAAAAAAAAAACACCAATGGACTACAGAGATGATCACTATCAAGGACATACAAAGAACTCAAAAGATCAGCCCTCCCAAATTTAAAGACCCAGTCCGAAAATGGGTATCTGAGATGAACATATACTTTCAGATAAATTAAAATGCAAACAAATATATGAAAAAATGTTCATTCAAGAGATGCAAATTAAAACAAAACTGAGGTCTCATCTCAGCATGGAAAAAATAGCTACCATTAAGAAAACAACCAATAACATGCA